TTTTTTTTTTTGGTAGAAAGAAAGTTTGGAATTTTTTTCCTTTGGAAAAGTTTACAAAAGAGGCCTTCACGATTTGGACTCCCAGCGCTGGGTAAAGTCACGTCCCCGCAGCCCGGGCAGGAGTGCCCCTGGCAGCGCGCAGCACGGGGCTTGCTGGGTGGCCTGCTCGGCCTCCCGGGCTTGGCGTGAAGCATCCTCGCCAGGCGACGCCCGCGCCCACGGCTCCAGCATCCCAGCGGCCGGCTCAGCGAGGAAGGGCTCGGCCTCCCCCCTGCCGAGGGGCCCAGGACGCGGCCTCCGCTCCTCTGCGGGGAGGCAGGGTGCCCGTGTCCGTGCGGGGTCGGCTTGTGCTGCCTGCCGCCCCCACAGCTCCCCAGCCAGCGGCGTCTGTCTCTCCCTGCGGTGCTGTTAATCCCTTGCTGGTTACCAGCACTCAGTCAGGCACAGGGACTGGAAAGATAAATAAACAGTTCTTACTTTCAAAGAGTCTGCCGTCTCACCGAGGGGAAATGCAAGCAGACCTGGGTTACTGAGGCTGTGGGAACGTCATACGCAGCGCATGGTGTGGGTGTGACAATGGGGGGGGAGCGCTGTGGCCCCCGGGCACCGAGCTGTTGCGGCGGCACCGTCTGCCAGGCTTGTCTCATCCCGCGCCGTGGGGGGCGGGGGCTCAGAGAGGTGCAGGCAGCACATCTGGTTCAGGAAGTCCACGCCACACATCTGGCAGGCAGGCAAGCTGACATTCAGACCTAGGGCCCCGCTTCCAGCTCCTTGCTCTTTGAACGCTGCTCCCAGGGTCCCTCCGCAGTTGTTTGGACCTGCCTGCACGTAACAGTGGTAAACAGAGGACCCCTGATAGGCGGGAGCGACTCGGGCATCTCTGAGCACAGTTTCTGGAAGTTTCTCCAGCTGTTAGCATCATCAGTAGCCGGCAGGCCTCCGGGGGAGAAAACACGAAATTCAGCCTTGCTGCTGTTTTCCGGCAGGCAGCCGTGTCTCGTGGCCCCCTTCTCCTCGGCAGGAAGCTTCCGACACAACGGAGCTACCTTGGCAGACCAGCCGTGCTGCCCCCGCATCTCCGGGCCCGGGTTTCAAAGAGTTGGACGGCAAAATGGAAAATGGAAGGCCAGGAACATTCTGCGGCTCTGGACACCTCCCTGCCTTCTCCTGCCCCTGGTGCAGTGGGTGCCGCTTTCCTGCGGTGCCTTGTCCCTCTGGGCAGCTTTCCAGCTCTGGGGCGCCGTCCTGGCCTGCCCCGCCCCCCTTCCAGGAGGACCCCCCGGAGCGCCAGCACAGTGTGTCATCAGGATCTGCACCCGCCTCTTTTCCCACAGTGGGGGTCTTGATGTCGTGGACGGTCTTGGCATCCAGGAATCCGGGACAGGGAAAGACACGCTCTGGGTTGACTCAGACGTCGCTAGTTTAAAGTGCAAACAATTCTTTTTTTTTTTAACTTGAGTTACTTGGTCAGATATAAACTGTGTGATGATTAACTTTGTTGTTCAGTCAGCTCTTTAAGAGGCATCCTAATTTTTTTTTTATTGAAGTACAGTCAGTGACAGTGTGTGAATTTCTGGTGCACAGCACAGCGTCCCCGTCATGCACATACCTACAGATACTCATTTTCAGTTCTTCGTGCTAATGAAAGACACTTGAGGTAACAGAAAATCAGCACTAAATGATCGCTGATGAAAGTGTTCTTGATGGGGGAGAAAGAGACCAAAGTTTAAAGAAACGGAAAGCCCCATCTCCTTGGAGTCAGACACACGTGGGTTTGAGCCCCAGCTCCTCTGCTTACAGACGCCGATGCTGGGCCGGTTCCTCACGCCCCCGCGCCTGTGTTCTCTCCCCCGTACAATGGGAGTGACTGACACCTCTTGAGGTTCTTGGGGTGGTCTAGCTGGCTGACTTAGCTAGTGATCAACCCAGGGTCCTGAGACATCTGATCAGGGATTAGCTGGCATTAACAGGATGGTGAAGAATGTGTCAGCGTCTGCCTTTGTACCCTGTGTTTATTTTTCCAGCGGTTTCTCTGGCATTTTTGTGTGCTGATTTCAAGACATCTTTTTGCTATTAGATTGAGAAACACGGCCTGTGAGTCACGGCCACTTTAACCTGGAAGAAGACCGGGCCTGTGTTCAGCGGGTGCTCGGTCAGACACTGGGGCTCTCATGTCTTTTAACACAGTAAACAAACGGATGCTCCCAGAACACAGTCTTCTGCAAAATGCGCGCAGAGGCCTGCTTACAGCATAGGACGTCCACTCCTGGGTGGCCCTCACCAGACGTGCGGGGTCCTGGTTCATAGATGCAAGCGGTGTTATGTTTAGAGTCGTGGACGTCCCATGGGGGTGTGTCACAGCCGCTCTAATTGTGTTTTGTAAAGCCTCTCTCATCAAGTGCTTCTCTGCACAGTAGTATGTGTTTTTGGCATTTTATCAGTTTATGGCTTTCCAGTGTCCTCCGGAGACTCGGTCTAGACAAACTCCTTTATAAAAAGTAAAATAATGATTGTGTTGCTCAGGTTTTGATTCTTTTCTTTTTACACCTGTGACTGGCTGTAAGACACGTATCACCCAGACAGGCAAACGGCGGGAACAACAGTGGCTCTTACTGAGCTGGTGCTGTGTGCTGGAAATCACGCGAGGTGCTTCCGTGTAGCTTCTTACTGTCGCAAAACCCCAGCAAGATGGGCACCTCTGTTCTGCAGTCGCGGGAGCTGTGGCCCAGTCTCACCGTGGAACGGGCCGGCGCCTCTGCCCGGAGGGCAGGGTCCAGGAGGCTGTGTGGCTCCTCCTCATGCTGCGCCCAGCCCCAAACAGGACTTCCATTTCCAGTTACCTCCCAGCTGAGGACAGTCACTCACTGTAAAGGGTACAGCACCCCACTAATCCACAGCACTGACTCCCCAGACGTGTGTGCGGGTGCAGGCCTGATGGAGGCTCCGTGCGACCCCCGCTCTTCCTCTGCCCCTCCCTCGTTCTGGGGAGCAGGCGTGTTGGTTTTGACGTTTGCCTCTGAAACCTCTGTCATTTTAGGCCTTAAAGGGGCATCCTTGCTCGGTTCTCTGGAGCTCACTCCATCATCATGGCATTGACGACACACAGATGATCTGAGAAAGATCTAAGTTCAGGGCCTCTGTGATTACCGGGAGCCTGGGCAGGACAGAGGGGTACAGGCAGGACCCCGGATCGGAGGCCCTGACGCTGCAGGGGCCCCATGATGTCGGAGCATCTGTTCAGTGCTCCTGACAAAGCGATGGGAAATGGGTCCGTTTGAGGGTGATCTTGGTTTTTGTTTTTTAAAGGAATTGCCGTCTAGAGCCTTTAGTGAATGAAATATCCTGGTTTGCTAGAGCAGTGAGAATTACACGTTTAGATCGCGTCGTGATGTACAGGTGGAGCGTACGCTATTTTCCACGTTGTCTTCTAGACTCTTCCTCTTGTGTAACATTCGTAGGACCCGACGGTTCGTAGAACCTCCCTGAGCTGCAGATCGGGAGAGCGAGGCTGGCAGAGAGAGGGGCAGACTTGTGCTCGGCGCCGGCTCACTCGCTCCTGACCGCCGTGCGTTCTTATAATGAGATGTGCTGTGCATCTTGGGGGCTGAAGAGCCTTGGCAAACAGCTCACTGCTTTCCGTGGTGCGTTGTTCTGACGCTCAGGTTACAGCAGGGCGATTCTGTTGGTGTTGTGACCCCGGCGTGTGCGGGGGATGCGGCTGAAACTGGGCTGAGAGATGCTGGTGGGATGTTTTACTTCGCTGGCCTTTCACGGGCAGGGCTGGTTGCTGTGCTCCTCGAGTTCTGACGTGAGCATGTCAGAGTCTGTCTCAGGCTGGTTTGGGAGCGAGCGTACCTGGGAAAGGCCATCACCTTTCTTTCCTTTGTTTACTGTGTGCGTTTCAAGGAAGCACAGGGTTTCCAAGATTGGTGGGCAGTGAAGTCGGCCGTGTGAAAGGCCGCCTCGCTTTGGTGTGAACTCAGCTTTGTGTCTCCCACGGATCTGTCTGAGTTACTTCAGGTGTTCAGCCGTGTCCCCAGGGGGGGAAGGGTGGGAGTATGCGTTTGCCTTGTGAGTGAGGGGTCGCTGAAGGGGATGGGCGTGTGCACCTGGGTCCTGCGTGCGGCATGCAGGGGCATCTCTGAGTCAGGCGAGGCTGCCCTGGGATCTGGGCTCCACCCTTGCTGTCTGGGCCAGCTGGCAAGTTCCTTCTTGGTGGTGACCCAGTTCTCACATGTGGATGATCGTCCTTTCCTGCAAGAATGTCTTAAGGAGCACATGAAGCAGAGGAATGGAGACGACCGGGTTCAGAGCCCACCATCTGCTGCGTGTTCAAGGGGCACGGCTTCCCGGCCTCCCCTGCGGGCTCTGTGCGTCCCGCTGGGCTCACTGGCCTGGCGTTGGCTGAGGTCGTGCTCAGGGATGCAACCCACATCTTTAGTCCTGGTGCAGAAGAGGTACCCCGCAAATACTTGCTGAGTGAATCAAACCCCTAATTTGGGGGCTGCTATGGCTACACAGCAAAGATACAAAAACCAGACTGGAACAATGTGCTTGATTTGACTTTAAAAAAATTTTTTTAATGCATCACTGCTCCTTCAGCCTTAAGGAAGTAAAGATGTTTAAAGATACTTCTCTTTTTCTCTCTCTCTCTCTCTCTCTTTTTCCCCCAGTGCCTGAAACAGTATGTGGAGCTCTTGATCAAAGAAGGATTGGAGACTGCAATCAGCTGCCCGGATGCCGCCTGCCCTAGGCAGGGCCACCTGCAGGAGAACGAGGCACGTGCCGCTGGAGGAGTGGGCTTTGAGTGCTCCCGTGCGGTGTCGGGGGTCGTGGGGTCTGCCCAGGGTGACTGGGCATGGTGTTCTTGCCCTCAGAGATTCATACTCCTTTCTTCTATTTTTTCCCCTTAGATTGAGTGCATGGTTGCAGCCGAAATTATGCAAAGATACAAAAAGCTACAATTTGAAAGAGGTAGGTGACCTGGTGTAGGAGTCAGTTCTGGTTCCAGTTCCTGTGACGGAATCCGAGTCCCCTGGGCAAGTGCTTTTGGTGGCTACGATTGCACATCATTTGGCTACAGCAGAAGTGAAGACAACGATGTAAACTAGGCTTCTGAAGTCGGGCTGTCACGCGAGTTCTCTGCGGAGCCCGTTTGGAAGGCCTCTCTGCTGGGGACCCGGGGTAGCAGGAAGGATGCATAAAACAAGTTGAGTTTGGAATTTGGGCTTAGGGGGTGGTTTAAAGAGACCCTCTTGGGGATTATTCATCGGCCAGGTTGAGGCTTAAGAGTTTGAGGACTAGCTCTTAGGACTTCACAGAATTTGAAAGATTCAAAGGCATGGTGGAGGTTCCCAGGCCAAGCTTGGTGGACAATGCCCACCATCCTGACTGCATGTCCGCTACCCTCTCTGTCCACCCGAGCAGGCCTAGACCAGGCGGTGCTGAGCCCACAGCTCACTAAGACTCGTGACAGCCCGACAGTCTATTACCCTGACACCCGCAGAGGCTAACTGGTGCGCCCTGATCTCCATCTTTAGTGGGTGGTGGGGTGAGGTGTGGACTGGGCCCCCCCGCACCTGATTTCCCAGGTGCACAGAGCACTGCAGACGTCACGGTCAAGACGGCCTCACAGAGCACTGGCACCCGAGGACTGTCCCGGGCAGGTCTCTCTCTCTCTGCTCTCCCAAGTGTGCCGGGAGCAGGCTGTCGGAAGAGTCTGTGGATTCTGACCGGCCTTGTTCTCATATACATTCTGGACCGTGGGCTCATCTGAAAGGAAGCAGAATAACACACATACATGATGCTCCTTGTGGGAAGTTTTGTGAAGATACTCCATCTGGATTCTAAAATTTTCAGCTTGCCTTGTGATCACTGAAGTCTACCCTCCCCTCTTCCCGGACTGGTTCTCAGTACTCCCCTGGGTCTGGCATTTATCAGACATGCAACCCTGTGCAACCCTGGGCTGCGTGTTTACAGGAAAACCCCATCAGGGTAGGGATGGAATGCGAAATAGACCAGAGGAAAGGGTCCAGAGACTCTGGGTTTAGCTGAATGTTCAGTTTTCTCTTTCTTTTTTTCTTTTTTTTAAAAGAAATGCTAAAGATAGCTGCATTTCCTCTTGAGGCTCACTTCTCAGGAAAAAAAAAAAGCAATGCATTGCCGACTTAAAAAGAAAAATCAAACAGGATTTTTTATGGCATTGGAATTTGTTTTCAAGAGCTTATTTATTTAAATGCCCTAAATCATTTGGTTTGGGGCAGTTTGTAGCTGAAATATGATACCGTGTGATAGGAGAGTCAGTGTGTGGAGCTATAAAATTGATTAATTTGGATTTCTGAGACTTTGAGCCTCTTCTGAAAACATTTTCCACAGAGAATCTTGACAGAATCTGGCTGTTATTTGGGTTACAAGAAAATGAACTTTCTATGACATTGAATTTAAAAATGCAGCTGGGTAAATGTTCTTACCCAATGATTTTAACTTGTTATTTCTTCAGTACTTTGGCTTTAGTCAAAGAAGGTTTTTTTTTTCTTTTGCATAATAATGAAGCCAACTTGACTTAGGTTAAAAAAATACCTCTCAAACCTGTCACTTTAAAACATTTTGCTAACATTATGCTAAAAGCAACAAAAAACACAAAATAGGACTCAGACTTTAATGAGACCAAAGAAATGTTAAAATGTTAGAGCTGAAGCACAGCCATTGATTTCAGTTAGTCACGGAGCAAATTGTGAGACAGGATCACTGAAGCATGTTTTGACTTGCTCCTCAAAGGACCAACCGTGTTTAAGAAAGAAAAGCCCTTTTTAAAGAGTCCTGGGCTGTTTGATACCTAGGGCTGTTAGGGCCCTGCTTCATTCATCTACTGTGAATAGATCTTTGGGAGGTGGGAGCCAAGGTTAGTGTCCCAGAAACACTGCCTTGTTTGAAAATATATTCAAATATGTGCATATACGAATGCTAGATACAATACTTATAATACATCACAGTGTGTAAGATACAGTGTACCTAATGTGTAGTATAAGATACATACGTGACAGACAGACAGACAGGCAGAGATAGATGTGCAAACGTACATCCTGGAAAGGAAAACTCCGATGTTGCCCGGTGTGGATTTTCTTATTGACGGAGTCCCGCCTTGCACACCAGCTGGCAGGATTCAGCAGCGGGGTGCTGCTGTGGAGTCTTAAAGACGTCCTCGAGCACCGCCCGGGCTCTGTTAACTGCGGGGGGGGGATATGTGCGGGCAGCTGGGGGAGGCTGTCCTGGGCTGGCAGAAGGGTGGGCCGGAGGCTTTGCCCTCTGCCTCTCCCATGGGGGATCTCTCCCGTGGGGACGGGCGGTGCCACGTAGCAGCTCCACGAGGACGCAGGTCACACAGTTTAGGTCGTTACCGTGGAGACCTGAACGAGGTCTCCTCTGCCCTGCGCTGCAAAATTGGGCCTCCCACGGTCGGCAGCCCACCAGCTACACGTGCTGTTCTAGGAGGAGCGGACGGGCGACGGCGCTGGGCCTGGGAAAGGCAGGAGGGGGCCTTGGGAAAGCTGGTCCTTTCCTGATGTCACAGGCTCCTCAGTGCAGAAGGAAGGGGGGCGAGCAGTGGGAACGGAAGGGTCTCAGCTGGGCAGGGCTGTCCCGTTAGGCGTGCAGATGGACGAGCGCTGAACTCCCTGTCCAGCTGGCGAGGAAGCGGACCTGCTGCGGGTGTCCGCACGGCTCGCACCTGTTTGCACGCCGAGCGCCCACATCCTGCAGAGCCGTCCCGGGGTGCCGAGCACACTGGGGCCCTGCTGAAGCCGGGGCGCAGCCGGGCTCTCCCTTCGCACACCCGCCCGGAGGCAGGGCCAGCAGAGAAACCCCTGAGGAGCAGAAGCAGATGGCGGAGGGGGAGGGCTGCCAGGGAAAAGGCACAGGACGGCCGGGGGACCGGCCTCTGGCGTTTCCTCCCAACGCTGGGCTCTTCCCAGTGCCCTGGAAGGACCCCGTGCCCCGGCCGCCCCTGTAGCCCCCCTCCGCCTTTCTCCTGCCCCCTCAGCTCGGGGAGCCACAGGGAGCTGTCCCCACACGTGTGCCTCTGAGGCCACAGCTGCATTTTCCCACAAAACCACCTCCTCGGGTCTGACAGCCAGGAACATTCTCAGAAAACCAAACACTGTGACTCTCGACTCAGGACAAGAACTCCTTTTCCTCATTCACTCTCCGTTAGGCTCATGGGAAAGATTCTAGATTGCTACCATGAAAGTCAATTTGAAAGTATCAGATTTTTCTGAATGCCAGACTTCCTGTGTATTCTCAAGTCTTCTAAACCTTCTGCCAGATCCACCACTCTGATACTTTTGTGCTATTGATTAATTTGCCTTAAAAAGAGATTAGATCAGAAGTTGGCCAACCATGGCCAGTGGGCCAGGCAGCCCGGCCCCCGGCCTGGCATTGTAAATAAAGTTTTACGAGAACAGTCATTTACAGGTCAACACGCTGCCTTTGCGCCGTGACAGCGGGACTGAGCAGTTGGACAGAGACCTCATGGCCCTCAAAGGCTGAGGTGCCCACCGTCAGCCCCTGGACTAGACGAGGAGATGCTTTTGGTCAGGTTGTACCTGATTCGAGCTGGTTCGCAGAGGGCTGAGTCTGACTCCGCCTCTGATGGGGCCTGTTGAGGTGTGGCCTGGCCCAACGGCAGCCCGTGGCAGCCCCAGCCTGTTGGAGGTCCCAGTGCCTACAAAGCCCATCTCCACGCGGGTGAGCCGACCCAGCCTGGCTGTCGCAGGGCCTAGAAGCCTGCCGGCATCTTTTACGGCTTCCAAGTTCCCGGTGCGGTGCAGCTGATTCCTTCTCAAGAGCGACCCTGCTGAACAGCGTAGATTCAGCGGCCAGCTTGGATGCCCCTGGAACACCCCGTGATCCTCTGGCCTCCACCGTGGTCTGGGGCCACGTCAGCACCCGTGGGGTTTCCTGTCCGTCTCTCCCACCCGTGGCCCAGCATTGAGAATCCTGTCGTGGAAGAGAGTCCACGGAGCCAGTAACCAGGCTCACGAGAAGGGCAGCTCGGGACCGTTGTTCAAAGAAACGCGAGGCGTGAAGGCAGATGTGAAGGCGTGGGAGTGTCATGGCATCCTGTTAGTCAGAATGAACCTCCTAATTTCATTAAATCTGGCTTCTTAGTAATGGAAGCCCCGCTTCAGAGGGAAAGCCTGCTGCTGAGGAATGAGTTTCCCACAGTCCTCTGTTCAGGGCTTAGATTTAAATTTGGGAGGGAGACAGTCGTAGGCGGGCGAGACCTCTGATGAGAACAGCCGGCACCCTGTTCTTCTTCTCTTTCCATCCTTAACGCACGTTTGGGAGCGCCCGCCGCTGCCCGCCGGCCCGGTCGGGCGC